GCAGGGCGCTGTGAGCCGGCACGGGGTCATCCCGGGCAAGGCGAGGGGCAGGAGCAGGGAGGCCGGACCGTACAGGGCGAAGGGAAACCTCTCTCGCCTTCTGAAATTAACTCTTAGCTGATTGCGCCCGCGGGAGAACCGTCCCTTTCTGACTCGTACTTCTAGGTCTAACACTTATTTTTGCTCGGCAGTAAGAACTCATCCAGCAAGACCCCTCCAGAGACACCGAAACCTTATGAATTTGTCATTAAAAGTGACACAGACACTAACTTCCCATTCGCTGCGTTTGACTTATATGTACCAATGCTGTAACAAACACTATTTCTCCCCTCACTTAACAAGTGATGGTAATAAAATATATCGAGAAAGAAAGAGAAATAAATTTCCTATTACCGTTTTCCCCTTTCCAGTCAGGCTGACTTCGGAGGACTCTTCCCAACCGGTGACTTTTGGGGACATGAGCCCTCTGTAAAGCGAGGACAGGCCATGCTTTTCCCCCGTCGCTGCTGGTGGGCACCTGAACAGTTGTGTCCTGGGAAGGTTATTTCATTGCCTGAAAGGATGCTCTCAAAACATGCAGATGGGAGGTCAAGTGCCCGTGTCAGAGGCAGGGACATCGCAGCCTGGGTACCCACTGCCTCCGGGTACCGTCTCCTGGCTGCTGGCAGCAAGCGAAAGGCAATGTAAATGTGTGGCTGGGAGCTGCCTGGGTAAATGCACAGCACTCTCAATCCAGTGCATAGGTGAGATGTGTCCAGCACACCCATCTTGCTGACACGGACAAGCCTGCCGTGGGTGCTGGGTGCCGCCGAGCGACCGGAGCGGGGCCATCTGCTACCCACAGCCCGGGACCACCAGCGCCCACTGCATTGCCGTCAGACCTGCCACGGTCCGACACGTAGGGAGTTATCGTGGTGGGGGACAGAGGCGGCTCTGCTATTGCTCTGGATCCTCCAGAGGCATCTGCTCCTTACAGCAACAGCCCCATAACACGTCGTGGCGTTTCCAGCCTCACACAGCTCTCCAGGCTGGCGTTGCTGGAGCGCAGTCCTGCGCTTCTTCTAGCAGCGTGATGCACGCTGTGTATCTGTTTACAGGCCAAAAGAAAGGATGGGGAAAGAAAAGGAGGCGATTCCCATAGCTTTCATTCAATGGTGCGTCTTACTTGACCGAAGTGGAAAGCAGAGGTGCCCTGTCGCGGCGTAGCTTTGCAAACCGGAGGCAGGCTGAGCTCCAAAACCTGGCCATGAGAAAACAAGAAAACCTGACGGCTTCTCTTTTCAGGTCCAGGAGAGAAAAATGCAGTTCCTGGCTGGTTTTCTTGCTTTGTCTTGCCACAGCGTGGCTCAGGCCCCCTGTTCCCCTCTCGTCAGCCGGAGCAGGTTCCCATGCCCGCAATTGTTGTACCCGCTGCCCAGGAAGCGCAGGCGGCCGCGGAGTCACCGCCTGCCATCAAAGGCAGTTGCTGTCAGCCCTTTCCCTTCCCTAACTCTGCCTTTGTTATTTATGTACCGGTTTAGGCTGAAGACCCGTATTACACGGAAAACGGCAGCCAGGCAAACACGATGTTGATGATGCCCCCCCAAGAGCAACCGGAGCTGCAGGAGAAGCCAAACCTCAACGGTGGGACTCAGGAGAACGGGACTGGCCAAGCGTCCTCCAAAAACGGCCACTCGGGCAGGCAGCACAGCCCCGCCGACACCGAAATGTGAACCCGGCGGCGAAGTCCATCCTTAGCGCGAACTAAGAGGGGAGCGGAAAGACAAGGGAGGGCGAGAGTTTTCCATGGACAGTTAGAGAATTGCAGACCTTTTTTCTTTTCTATCATTATTTCTGTGAAGAACTTCAAAATCGGCCTAAAGCACATTAAGCGCCAGAGCTGCCAAAGACCTGCTTCTCTGCCTCCTCCTGTTGACCACACAAGAAACCTTTTCGCAGCTGTTCTCTGCTTTTGTTGTTAGAAGAACACAATGAGAAACGCAAGTGCCCTTAGCCCTGAACAGCTTTTAAGCAGAGGCAGAGTGAAGCTACAGAAGCCTTGAGCCAGACTGCAAAGATGTTTGGTGGCAGCGTGTTAGGCTGATTAAAATAGTGAAATTGGGATTTCAGTGACAAAAACCTGTCGGGTTTCAGAGAATTTTGGTCAACAGAGTTGTTTTTTATCTCATCTTTATGCTCGAGTGCAGGATTTCTTCCTTTTTTAAGAACATCAGGCATTTAATCCCCCTTCTTGTGCTTTAGGTCTTCTTTAGTATTTTCTACTCCAGCAGAATTTGCTGAAGCTCTGTGTAAAATTTTCCACATGGAATTGAAGGCTAAAATGTGAATAGACCTCCAACTTGTTTCTTTGTTAATCCTACCAGTACGCAGGTAGTTGTTTTAGAGTAAAAATCTTCCCCAGTCTCTCCATGTCAGGGGCTGGAGATGGCGTTTGACGAGGCAGAGCCAGTAATCCATCACGCGAGCGGGATGGAGAACGTCTGACGCGGCTCTGCAGTCCCGTGGCCCTCCCCACGGGTCGGGGCAGCGCCTCAGGCAGGACCTCGGCCATAAAAGATGCCAAAGGGCTCCCAGAGGGACGAGCGCTCGGCAGAAACCTGGCTGCGTGTCGGGTGTTCCTCCCTCCGCATCAGCAGTGGGCACATGAGCCAAAAGAGGTGTTTTCGCTTTGGTGAGTGAAGGCCAATGCCGAAATCCCAACGACAGGAGCGGGTCCCACCCAGCTCTGCAGGCATCCTGCTCCCGAGGCGGGCGGTGCTGCAAGCCGCATCGCCGGGGTTGAGCTGGGGACCAGGGGCGGGTTTGTGCTCGGTCCCCAGCGCGCGCAGGTCCTCTGCAGGGAGCCAGAGCTGCTGTCGCGCGAGGCCGGTGGTGCTGGTGCCAGACCACAATCTCCGCTGGCACCACCAGCAGCTGCCATGTCCAAAATAAGGACAAAAACGGCCCTTGAAGCAGCTCCACCCTCTCGCTAGTGAATTCATCGCAGCCTTTTCTCAGTGCTGAACACCTGAGGGGAAGGCAGGTTTTTTTGGTACAGCGCTTGAAGGAACGACAGCAGCGCCCGTCACTACGTGGGGCTGTCTGCGCGGGTGCAAGAGTCATTTAAACACGGTTTAAAAATATTTCAGGTCTTGTTTCTTTCGGTGTGAATTGCTTCTCCCAAATCTCATTGTAAATAATCCCAGTTGAGCAAAAATTGAGTATTAAAAATGAACTTCTCCGTTGTGTCCTTGGCAGAACGGCGTGTTTCTCCCAGCGGGACGCGTGGCTCTGGCTGTGCCGTGTGCCAGCGCGAGGAGCGGCCGGCGCCCGCCGCAGGGGTTGTTCCCAGCAGAAATGCCGTGACACAGGGCTGCGGCTTCGCCTGTGCACATTTTCCGTGTCTTTCAACAAACGCATTTGCGGGACAAGTGACGCACAGCGCACCGTTAAACCTCGTTTGTTTGATTTCCTGATGTTTAAGATGCCCGGCTAATTCCGGGGTGAATAAATGAGACTCTGGTCTCATGGAGTGAGCCGCAGGGCTGGGGTCTGAGCTGACATTGGGGGGGTGTTTGTGTGTGTGTGTGCATGAAGAAGATGATGAAGATGAAGATGAAGATGGTGAAGATGAAGGTGAAGATGAAGATGAAGATGAAGATGGTGAAGATGAAGATGAAGATGAAGATGAAGATGAAGATGAAGATGAAGATGAAGATGAAGATGAAGCCTTCCTCACTCTCTGCACTATGCAATAACCAGCAGCGGTTTCTGCCTCAAAGAATTCCCAGGGCGATGCACGGCAGCCCTTCAGTGCCTGTTCTTGCGGAGATGCTGGAGCTGCACCGAAAGCAGGAGGTTTGGGGCTGGGGATCCTCACTGACCCGGTCCCCTCCTCTCTGGGGTGCGCGACCCGTCCTCCTGCCCTCCTGCCCGGGGTTCACGGGCAGAGGCACACCGGGAACTTCTTGGGAGTACCGAGTACGGCTAGAAACCACCGCTGCCAGTTTTGTTGTAGTTTGGGGCAATCTGAGCTCCACGGCCCGGCCGCAAGGGCAGCACCTGCAGGAAAAAGAAATTACTTTCTCTCCCGAGAGCCCCGGCAGCTGCGGAGCGCAGGGGAAGCTCTCCCGGAGGGCTGATGTGCGCTGGGGGTGGGATAGGGGGCTGCGGTTGGCGCTTTTTTTTTTTTTTTTCTTTTTTTTGGCACTTGTTTATCTGATCAGCAATACTCGCCGGATCAGAAGCAGGAGATCTAATCAAACACCAGGTGCATTTTTCACAGCTCAGGGTATGTCCCCCAGCCAAGCAGAGACAATAAAGTTACAGTCAATCACTTTGGCAAAACAAAAGCTTTCTCTAAAACGTGCAGACTGAAGGAAACGTGGCGAGCGGCGGTGGCCGAGGAGGGCCGGTGCTGAGCCGACGGAAGAGGCTGCGCTTCCAGCTCAGGAAGTTTTCTGCCTGTGCGTAAACACCGGCGGGCTCAGCTCTGGCCCTGCCGAAAAGGCTGTTATTATTATTCCTTCCTTATCAGCCCCCGTGCATTCCTTCCTTGCCGCCCCCACCGTCTGCCGGGCAGCCTCCTCCCCTCCCCATCCTGCCCTGCCTGTGGGCAGCTCACTGCTCACAGCTGCTTTTGGGCCACTTTTGGAGGGTTTGGGGGAAGCTAAATCCATCTCAGCCTCCACCAGTGACCCGCTGCCCATAAACACGGTTCGAGGTTGCCACAAGTGCTCTGCCTGGTTCATGCTGCCGTGTCCCGCGTGCACAGTGCACATATAGTCTGTTTAGCTTCTATCAGCGTGAAATGCCCTGATGAAAATAATTGGCATGGAAGCATCCGCTGGGGAGGAATGGTGGCAAATACATATACGAGGTGTTAAGTGTAAATGTGACACAACCGTTAAATGACATGCCCATGTCCCAGCCTGAGCCAGAAGCAGGAGCTCTGACTCCCCTCCAGGCAGACCCCGAATCCTTCTGCGGGGTGAAAACGAAGACTTTTTTGGAAATGCAGGAATACTTCTGAACTGCCATAAAATGCTACTGTCAGCTGAAGGTGGCTTGCTCTGTGCATTGCTGAAACCAATTAAATTTAGCAGAGCAAACAAGTTTTAATTAAGTCCAATTAACTACGTCCCTCAGTGAATCTTCCATCCTTTTCCTAATAAAAACAGGTGAGGAAACTCTGTCCCTGCAATATCACAAGCCCTTCACAGCAAAACAGCACGTCCCAGGGCAGAGAAAAGTTGCTCCTTTCTCTGTTTGATGGTTGTTAAATTCTTTTCCATCGCTGCCCCGATGCCCGAGAGCCCTCAGCACCAGGATCAGTCCCGCACAAGCAGCGAGACGCCCAACTCCTACTCGTGGCCCCGGGAAGATACCAACGTTTTGCCTTGTGTTGAGCCTTGGAGGCCTCCAGGAACAGACGGGCTCTCCTGCTCTCTCCACGCTCCAGACCAACAGATCTACTTGAGCATTGTGCTAAACTTTCCATTTCAGGGTGGGCGCCGTGAACGCCTTGTCGCGCGCTGTGAAATTTTCACCCCCTGTGAAATTCTGTTCAATGCAGTTTAGCTTAGAGGCTCCAGAAATACTCCTTAATTCTAACGGAGGAGCGCTCAGCCCGGCAGCAGAGGCTGCAGCCCAGCCCAGCTCGGTGCCCGGTGTGCCCACCGCCCGCGGCGCAGGAGGGACATCACGGCCTCAGACTTAAATGCGCCGAGGTTTCTGCATGGCTCTGAAACCACAGCAGAAATAGCCGAGGTTATATTATATATAACAATGCTGCTATCTGCTGGCTGTGCTTTGCTAAAACATTGAACGCTTTGCTGTAGAGGGAAGCTGGGCGATGGTGCCTGGGCAGAAGCGGCACCTCAAGAGGGGTCCTGCTCCACCACTGTCTCCTCCTGCACCCCGCGGCGCCGGCAACGCGGCCACGAGGCTAACAAATGCACACGGTGACATTAAAAAAGCAGCAACCCATACAGTGGGCTTTGAAGCTCATACTCTGGGAACGGGGACTATTGAAAATGAAATTTCTGAACCGAATATTTCCCACCAAACCACTTCCCATCTGCTTTTTCCATGCCCGATCCTGCAAAACTTGTGTGGGAGTTGCGCAATATTTGCCGCACCATCTGCCATGAGGCCACGCGGGCTTTTCGGTCCGAGCACAGGGAACACAGAAACGCAGGCGGGCTTTGCCAACGTCCCGCGTTCCGCTGCGGGCGGCTGATGGAGGAGCAGCCGGCGAAGCAGCGTCGGTGGAGCCGGGGCACATCCCTGCGTCGCAGCCCGGGAACCGGCACTGCCCCCGACTCCCCCCAGCCAGTCCCGCTGAATTCATGGCATTGTACCAGTTGTGCACCAGTGCGGCACCAGTTTTGAGCCAGCCAGAAGCTCAGTCATCATCAGATGGCCATAAAGATGTCACCCAGTGCTGGTAAAGGGTGCTGTTCAAGCTCATTACCTTCTCTAACCATAGAAAAGCAACCGCGTCACGTAACGCCCGTGTACATCATCTCTCTGCACCCGTGTGGTATTTCTGCCTTTGCTTTCAAGGTAACAGGAACAGCATCTGTGCGGGGCTTTGCCATCCCTCAGAAAAAATGATGTTTACAACTATTTGCATTACAGGCACCTACAGGTGTTTTAATTCTGAGTCTTTAATCTTAGCCTTCAGATCCATTTAATTTGCTGGCGTTTTGATTTGTAGTAACAGACGTAA